TATATGATGTTTGTCTCTGCTGCCAAGTCTTCCTGGGAAAGCTGTGGGAAAAAGATTTGATCTGGTTTGTAACAGTTTAAAAAGAACCTTGAAATTCTGGTTTTTATGCATCTCCCCTTGAAACTGCAGAAAGGCTTTTTATATAACTTTGTTTTGTAGTACAGATACTCCCTGAAACCCAATAGATTTTATGTGCACAGTTTCTCTTTACCACATCTCAAATATTCAGCTTTGCCCTACTCTTTACATGATGTCATAAAAACTACACACCTCAGGGAGCTTTTTGTCTTGGGTTGTAAGGTTTATAAACTCCATCCTTAGCCTGCAGTTCTACACCAACAGGAGACTTTTATGGGAGTGTCTCGTTCTAYTTGAGAACAGGAGGCTTTTTAGGATTCACTGGGCCTGCTGGAGATTAAACTGGAGAGCAGCAATTAAACCATGACACAACTCTAYATCACTGTGTCTCCCTTCACCTTTCTCTTCCCTCTTACCTCATCCTGCACTCACACAACTATAGGTTACCATAGAAACTGCCTCCCTCCCACTTCCCATCTTTTCCCTCCTCAGTTACTCTTGCATGCTCATATGTTTGGCTCTGTTCACGCCATAAATTCATCATGTTCATATTGAGCTCTTCATTAAGACCCATACTGTGATTGCCTTCTCCCGCCTTTAACAAAGCATTTTAGTCCTTTTTTGTTCTCTTTATTCTTTTTACCAGCTGTTCTTTATGTTGCTCTATCTGACTATCAGTCCAGCTGAAACTAATTGTCAGGTCTTAGCTTGCTCTGAGGCAAATCCTTAGAAAAGTAGAGGGAGGTGTAAAAGGTTGATAAGAAAGAGGGCAGAGTTTAAAAGTGGGTATAGAAGCAGCAGTCAAGGAACTATTGTGGATATGACATCACCAAAATGCAAATCTCACATCGAATCTGTGATGAATCACTAGTTGTGTTTTCATTACAAATGTGCACAAAACTTTATTAATATTCTGTTAATGTTGAAAAAACACAGTTTCACAACTGCAGTGTTTCCTTTAAGTAATAAATGTTCTTAAAGTCACGTGAATACGTTTGTTCTCATGATAAGTCATTACAAACATGGCAGCGATGGATGTAAACACACAGGCTGTGTCTCAATTCATGAGAACCCAGCCTAGCTGGGCCACGTAGGCCACATCCTTACTGGGCTGGGTAGGCTGCTCAAAACTGCTGTGAAGTGAGACGGTCCAGCCTTCGCCTGACGTT